GACCTGGTAAAAGTAACCAACACCCGGACAAAAACTGCATGGATATAACTTCTCTACCCTGTCTGTGGCTCTCAGTCCCAAGCCCATTCATTCCTACTGAACACTGAATACTCAAATGTTTTTAAAACAGGAGACTAATATATAGTTTCATTTTTAAGAAAGGCTAAATCATTTCCTAAATTAGCTGGGCACTACCGTTTAGCAAACACTACTCAAACAAGTAGGTAAGTAGCACATTTGTTGGGGACTATTTTCAGAGGCGGATTAATCCACATTTGGTGCACTAGTGAGTGATTCCAGTAGTGGAACTGACTTGAATTAAACCACAGTGCTGCATGTTAATGGCAATGAAGAAACATGTCACCCAGTGCAAAGGCTCGATGATGTGTTTTTAATGGAGCCGTGGCACAAAGACCTCTAAAGTACACAGAAAACACTTGTTTGTGGAATCAGTGCATTGTTGCATTTGACCTTTTTTATTGGATTTGTTATGAAAAACAGGAAATATCCCCAGACTTCTCCTTCAGGTGCTCTTTTTGTATCAGTTTTAGGGCCATAATCAGAATAACTTCTTAATTAGATTCAAAAGCATGTATTGTCATCTGCCACAAACAAGCTGACTACTGTTTGACTCCTGATCCATGATTTAAAATCTCAAGGGCACTGTGACTGTCTTTGAAACAGGATGTCATGGCAGGACATGACACAAATAGGGGCTTTTTGAAAGGTGTCAGTTCCAAAACCTGAGATGCTGCATGTGCTGCAGTCTTCCTCAGAATACATCCCTGCCAACAGGATGCAACAGTGGAGCCTAAAAGGAAAGGGAAGCAGTTTTCAAGGGTGGAGACACAAAAATGCACAAAAACACCACGATGCCACTGGAGTAAGTGTGATAGATTCAGGTTTTGAATCATCCATGGTGGCATTATTGGTTGTAATTTTCATTCAGAACACAGCGAGGCTTCACAGGTGGTGCACAGTCAGAAATGACTAACATGCAGTCACCTCATTAAGTTTTAACACAGCGAAGCAGATCATGGCACGGATGTTTTACTCTAATTCTAAGTCTGCTGTATGTTCACCAACTGGCTCGTCGTGAAAAATCAGTCAAATATGCTGTGATGTAACAGGGCTTTGTTATCTGTAGTTAAAGAGTTTTACACAGTTAGTTGGCTTCATGTTATCTTTCTTCTCAGATGCAAAGTCTCTGAAGGTACAGAGGCTGTTTCCTTTGGCTGAAACAATTTCACAAAGTATCTCTCTTGGCAAGGAACAAGATCTGTTTAAAGTCCAAAACCATTTGTGTTTTTGAATTGTCTTCTCCTTAAAAGGTCATTGGATCATCATCAGTAAGATAATAGTGCAGTGAAAACACACACACACCCTCTGCTCTCCCACACCTACACCAGATGCCGACTGCCACCGCCTTAGGAATACGGTCGTCATGACGACCATGTCCCATCTTTGTCTTATACCCTTGATACCCTTGTGAAGAACTGGAGGGTAAACTCCCTCGAGAGGGAAGGGCAATGAGTTTGTCAGCTCCCCGACTGCTATCATCCCGCTTGTGTCTGACATATTTCGACTGTACGTTCAAGGCAGTATGCACTATATACTAGTTGTTGTAGCAGTTAGTACACAAAATATCTATATACTTTACTATTTTATACTCACAGAAAATAAGATTCAATTTAAGATGATTTAAATTATTATTTATTTATTATTACTTATTTTTTTGTTTTCCAAATTTTCAATGTATATATTTTTCCAGCTGTCCGTTTCCTTTGTGTGTTGCATTGTGGGAAAATATCATGAATAAACCGCACACAAAAAAATTAGTATGAATACTCCATTTGGTCTCTTTTCTAGTATGGACCTACTACAGACTTAAAAAGTTCCTTATATGAATTTGAGACACTGTGTACATATCAGTGTGCAGGCAGTTTATACACTGCTGCCCTCTGCTGTTGAGGTACATTCACTGCATGAGCCAATTTAAAGATTTTGGAGAGCTCAGTTTAAATGTGATTTTATATCAAATTATGTATTTCCAAAATCTATTTGTTTATCTCTTTATAATCTGTGATGTCACAAGTGTCTATTCCTTTATTTTAAAGGGTCACAAGCCAAAATGGTTTACACATGGCAAATAAGAATGAGGATCATCAAAAACAATGCGCTCTCTTACATTTAAAATGCACGGGGCCTCAGAGGAGAATGGATGGATTGAAGCACAGAAATAACAACTTGTCTGATGACAATAATACATTAAATACGACCAAAAATTCAATTAAAAAATATTTAATATTCATTTAATTGTATTTTTAGTCAGTGATGCAAACAGAGGAACAAAATGGCTTTATACTCATAATTTATTTGTTTGTATTACAATAATGCATAGAACAGATATACAAAAACAACAAAATATAACTTTATTGAAATTATCAAGTCATTTTCTGTATTAAAAAGCGATCAAGCTTAACATGGCTGCTGAAGGATAATCTTAAACATACAGTACATACAAACATCAGGCACAGATTTGGTATTCATCTCTGACTAGTGCAGGTGTTGTGTAACACAGTAATGACATACTGAAACACAATGTTAACGGGTCGAACGCAGCAATGGACAATAAAAGAAAAAGATTTAATGGCTTATGAAAGAAAGGATTCATCTGAAAATTACTTAGAATTTGAATGCTTCTCTCTAGGTAACAAAAGACAGATATTTGAAAAAAAAAAAACAACCACAAAACGCTGTTATTTGGTCAACGTGAGAAGTGAAATGAACTACTGAAGAATTTGTCCCAAACACTTGTGCATTCATAACACGATTCCTTCTTACTATTGTTAGAGTTTATTGGATATTATCTCCCTGGCTGCAATCACGTCGATTTATTTGTCTGGAAATGTGTCCCCGTCATGTTGACCATTACGTTGTCATGTGTATTACAATCCTGAAGCTGGAGCTACATGGACATTTCACTGCACATAGATAGTAAAAGGATGTACACACATACAAAAAAAAAAAAAAAAAAAAAAAAAAAAAAAAAAAACACACCCATACACCCATACACACACACACACGAAAAACAACACCAGCATCTACAGAAGTTTAGAAAATGAAACATCCTGGCTACTGACACCAGAGAAACACTGACTGTCAAAACACACTTCTAAGTTGTGCATGTAAAGGAAATGGTCCTTCAAAGGAAAACTGTGAAGCAAAATTACAAAACAAAAGCGCAGTGACGGATAATGGTTAAATTCAAAATACAAGGCATCAGAGAGAAGGAACAGTTATAAAAATAAGTGATGACTTTTTAAAGCATGTAAACATTTCAAGTAGCCGCAAACTGTGTGCAGCAAGGACATAATGTAACCTATTGTTGGTATGTGAGCAGTGGGAAACCTCAGTGAAGACAGATTCATGACCCAAATAAGAAGAGAATAGACGATGCTTTGACTTAAATACTTTTTAAGTGTTTTGTTTTATTTTATCCTACATGGAGATAGACTGATTCCACCGCATTAAGTTAATTAAAATAGGGTCCAATGAGTAGGTAATCCCAGAAGAAACTTTTACAAAATTAACCTTTAAGAACCTCACGTGATTGTCTAAACTGTTTTCCTTGTGTGGCACGACCCAAACAGGTACATTACAGTGACGTAAAGAGTGAAACGGACAGATAAGCTGACACAGGCGAACATTTTGAATATCTTTAGAGTCTAAGACCGAGATAATGAACGGATAGTTAAAACAAAATAAATGACTACAGTTCTGGGTCTGTGCCTGTATAAAGCTTTGAGTCTAAAGCTTCAAGATCACCACCCTGACCAGCAGGGGGAGCTGTAACAGAGGCGTAGGAACATCCACCCTTCCTCTCGAAGATCAGAAGTGCAACAACCAGGTTCAGGGTCAATTTAAACATCGGACTGAAACAAACACTCATGCAACTTATTTTCAGTTTTGACTTGACTGGGTCCTGTGGGAATTCTGAGCATGAATACTGAAGAAAAATCCACTTCTTGAATGGAAGTGAAATTAATCAAATGACCATAAACCTGGGCAAAGATATACATTCATGTAACACACTTCTCTGATCATTTTACTCTCGGAAACATGTAATATCATAAAAAGGTGCATCTGAAAACTCTCAATATGTTTCAGGTGTCCCACATACGGCTTAAAAAGGAACATTGTGTAACATAGACGCAAAGTAAATATGTTCTGCCCTCCTCTCGTAAAGCGAGTAAAAAAAACAGCATTTGTGCTAAAGCTGTACAGTAGTAAGCTGAGCAGTAACCTTGATAATATAAAGACTAATTCCAAAATGAGTTTTCCACCATTTTAAAACTTCGGCGTGGAAAGAGGGCAAAACTAATTTCTTAATATATCTGGAGCAACAAATTATCATGAGTTCTTACGTCTGTATTGTCCAAAACAGAAAGTCGAGACAATTAGAAATCCTTTCCTCCATAAATGGATCCTTTTTTAAATTAAGTCTTCAAAATGATTAGAGAACAATGCAGAGCCAATTCGTCAAGTAACAAATACTAAGGTGGCTTAGACACACACAACAGCATTCAACACAACAGCCGCAGACACTCATGAGGCAAGTTATAGCAAATATTTCAGACAGAGGCTCTACTCTGGCAGTCTGAAATATCACCCATCTCTGAAAATGCACTTCTGGTTTATAAGAGCAGTTTTACTTTATGTGTAAAGTGAGAACCTGAAGCAGAATTAGACAGCATTTGGATTTTCTCCATTTATGTCAAACCCAAGCCCAGACCTACTGAGCAGTGCAGAGCTTGACTCGTATTCCTCCTATTTCCTGAAAGCAAAGTGTGTATTCCACCCACCAAACATCCCATTTCAAAGCTTTATAAGGATTTGAAGTTTTGTTGCAACGAGATACATCTACCACTCAAAGAAAGAACTAAAATCATGGGAAAAAAGAAACTTTCCATAACAAAATAAAGAGTGAAAAATATGGATTTTAGGATATAGGATTTATTTAAAGAAGTTAAGGTAAAACGAACTCCTTTTCAAGACCGAAGACGGTTTGTAAATTAACACAAATTAACGTGTCTCCCTAGTCTTTACTAAGAGAAACTGGTTGAGCTTGAGTAAATACTTTAGGGAGTGTGGATGGGAGTAGCAGCACAAACTCAGCCTCCAGCAACAATTACTAGGAAGTGTTCACTAGGAAGCACTTTGTAACAACCACTGACTACAAAGAAGCGAAGTTCAAGAGCTTCACTGTTATATTTATGTTTGAAAAGTTTAGACACTCAAGACGCTCACAACAGGATCATTTTGTCATCAGTGTCAAGAATCTGACATATTTTCTTTCCCCTTGACCAAACAACAAAGAGAGTCCCAGGTGGACACATCCCAGCTCTTAGTCTCCTTACTTTTATAATACAGCATTGAGACGCTCCCTCACGGAGCCGACACACAGTGTTAAAGCATTATAAAGGCCATATAAATAGTTGTGATATAAATATGTGCACGCAAAAAAAAGACACGGTCACTTTGGGTGAAGCTCGCTCGACAGTAAAGCAGGGTTAGCTCGTCTACGGAAGTCTGACATCAAGTCAAAATACTATGGTGGCCATTTTGAAAAATAGCATTAATGCAGCCTTCCTCATTTTTAGAGGTACAATGCATCAACTGCTCCGAGTTGAGGCTCAAAGTGACCTTTTATAATAATATCTTACCTTCAAGCTGCCAACTTTATGGTCATAACCCTGTTCAAAATACATTTTTTTGTCACTTTGACCTTTCTGGAACAGGCTCAAAACTTCTTCTTTTCAAGGGCCGGTTCAGTCAGTGCCTGCCTACTGCTGAGCGGTCACTGGCAGTTCAGGTCAGGACTACTGAGCCAGGCCCAGATCTGGATCATCTCCTGTGGGGTCCTTGGGTGAACGAGCATTAAACTCTTGTAGGCGCAGGGGTTTGACCTGTACTTCTCCTCTATGTTAAAGGTCCTGAAGCCTTTGTGCTTCTCGGGGGCCAGCCCAAGCTTCCTAAGACACATACCCGTGTAGACGTCATCTATCGGGTAGAGTGCTACATGTTGTGACACGTTGTGCAGACGAGCAGCGATGTCACCAGAGTAGAGGTACCCGCCTCCGCCTGCATATGGAGGGTATGTCCCGATGTACATGCTCTCTGGGATGAAGTATTTGACCTTCTTGTCTCTGTGTGGCCCCGCGTTGGTGATCACGTCACCGACAAACAGGTCCCTGGCTTTGGGCTCTGAGAGGCCCTTGAGGAAGTCCAGGATGCGGTAGGTGTTGACAAAGACATCGTCATCGCCTTTGAAGATGAAGCGAGCACCAGAGCAACGAGTTTGGATCCATTCCAGGAACAGAACTTCCTTGACGGTCAAATTGAAGAATGAATCCCGGTAATCCCACTGGATGATGTCTTTATGGCGGGCGTTCTCATACTGCAGCATTTCAGACAGATCCGGGTGGTGGTCCCCAGCTGTGGCATTGCCGAGAAGGAAGATAGTAACTACTGTCTGATTGGCTAAAACACCCGCCCGCCCCCAGGACTGACGGATGGCCTGACGGCGGTCGAAGTGCGGCGCCATGGATTTGACAGCCAGGAGTAGGAACGGCGGCTTCTTACAGATATCAGGCTGGTCCATCATGATCGGGTAGGAGCGGCAGTGCATGTAAAGTAGAAAGTCCTTGAAGCGGTGCGGTAGAGAGTTGTAGTCTTTCACCTGAGTGGTGACCCTGATGTTAGACTGGCATGTGTCCGAGGTCGAACTGGTGTCGTTAAGCCAATTGGGCATGTCTGCGGTGCTGTAGTTAGTCATCAGGATGGGATTGTTCTGAAGGTCTAGAATCTGCTGCTGGCGGTTCCAGTAAGCCAAGCTGGGAACGAGTTTGGTCCAGAAGGGTTTGGAGGGGATTTGGACCTTGTGATGCCCGTTTTTGTCTTGGCTGCTCTGTCGGGACATGAGGATGAAGATGAAGAGGTTAATCATCATCACTGTCACCACAAGCTTCAGCCTCCTCCGCAGCAGTGCCATGACAGCGTCCTGCACCCGTCACCACCTGAGCAGACACACAGGGAAAAGAAATAACGATGTTAGGGAAAAGAAAATGCTTCACTACAATATCAGAGGGGACTGATAACCTGGAAGGAATTATGTCTAGTTTCTGGTGCACAATATGGATTATCTACTGGAGACAGAGGGTGTTAATATTTTATTAGAAGTCTGGTCATTATATAAAAGGGACATCAGGACTTCCTGTTCTACCTACACTAAATTACCCATGGCCTTTTCCCCTCCGTTTTGTAAGGGGAACTGCAGTCTGTCTGTATTGGTGATTATTACAATAGATTTTGGTCATGTTACCTTCATGATTCCTCAACAGTGTAAATTTAGGGAAAGCAGCTACTGACAAAACAAATTACTTTATAGGAATTTTTTAATCAAACCTGTCACAGTGATGGATTGGAAGTGTACTACTGTGGAAAACATGTTTGTAACAGATCGTTCCTACAACTGAGCCTTTAAAAAATCTTGGTCAGTCTTGATAAGAAGCCCTGATGGAAAAATTGATTTTTCAGGGTAACGGTCATGTGCTTTCTATTTCAGGGAAAATGAAATAGTAATGACTGTTTTTATGGTCAGTTATGGGTGGCACAATGGTGAATTGTGTCATTTTACCACTTCTCTCTTGTTGTTAAGAAAGAACTATTGGTGACAAAAGAGAAGATATTTCAACCACAAGACCACTGTGACACAAGGCCAAGCCCGAGCATGCCATTCAGAACAGATGAAATATCAGGAAATTGAAATCACATTTCCACTCCACCAAATTTTACCACCATAACCAACTGCTCTCTGCCTCAGATGTCTCATGGATCACGTGTACATAGATCACTTGTTATAACCGAATGGCACGGTACTGGAAAGAAAATTGCACTTGCATGAAGACATTAGTGGTATTGTTACTTCATTGATCCCTGTAAGGCTCTATTTCAGCAACCCAACTGCATCCACTGGGGCCGACATCAGTGGTTAGCACTCACATATTATGTAAAACAAGAGCCAGTGTCTTTCTCTTTCAAATACACTTCAGAAGGGTGGTGCTTGCCAAACAGGGCTTAAACGTCTTACCACAAGTCAGAATCACAAATCCGTTTCACCTATTGCTTCCCTGCTAACCCAGTAAATCTTATGACTGTGTGTTTTCAACCACTGTGTAACATTAAGACAGAAAATCATTCTGCAAACCCTGCAAATCACCAACCAACAGATGCCATCCAGGTTACCCAGCAGGGTGTGTGTGTGTGTGTGTGTGTGTGTGTGTGTGTGTGTGTGTGTGTGTTGTGTGTGTGTGTGTGTGTGTGTGTGTGTGTGTGTGTGTGTGTCATGAACAGAACATATACTGTTAGAAACTTAATAATTAACAGAAATATGGGATTGCAACATATTCTCGCTCATAGCATTCTCTTTGCCTTACTGAAAATGTCTGTGTTCGACCTTCTTCCCTTCACTTTCTGGGCCTCTTATTCCCTGTTGCTTTGTCCTTTTTATTCTTGCCAGTGAGGCAGTCACATCCACTGTACGTCTGCTTGAGGCGCTGTAGGGTTTTCAGAAAGTTATTGACGAGGTACACTTTTGAAATTCTTGCGGTACCAACGATGATCAGAAAAGACTGAATACCCAAATTATCGACAATTATTAAAATTACTTATATTTTTTGGGGCGGATTTGTCTGTGAGAAAGGGAGGGATCAGGGCAATCAGGTCTTGAAATTAACTTTTTTCCCCTCAGTCGCCCACAACTGTCTCAAATTCAACTTTGAGCAGTGTGAAATTTAACACCCATTGCCTCAAACTGAAGTTATTTTTTCATTCTACATAATGAATATAGTTTAATAATTCTGTTTCAGTAACTCGCATCACTTCATTGACTCACTCTGGCCCACCACTGAAGTTCTCCTAGTTCTTTTTAGAAATAACAGTCTGACAAAAGTGGCTAAATCTACTGAGAAGGTCACCAAGTTAGGAACACTGGTTACTGGTACCTCACAGTTAAAATGTATATGTATATATATATATATATATATATGTATATATATATATATATATATATATATATATATATATATATATATATATATATATATATATATATATATATATATATATATACACACACATACACATATACACACATACATTATACACACACACACACACACACACACACACACACACACACACAACCGTAATAATTTCACTTCTAATAATACATTTCTCTACTGTCCCAAAATAGCCTCAGACACAGTATCTTTGTGTCCCGGGTGCTATTTGTATCATCCCCACGCAATTGGACATCCTTAATTTCAAGCGCTGCAGGCAATAAAGATCCCAAGCCAAACTGGCGACAACATGGTCAATGTCTTAAGCCCCTAGGCTACTAGAAGACTCCCTTTGAAACTAATAAAACAAAACATATAATGGATATAAGCGTGCAGCTTTTGCTGCTGAGTCAACAGGCCAGAGGGTTAGCTCTGAAAGTCAAAAGTCTCAACATCTGGGAGATATTATGGTCATTTGGGGGCAGGTTTTTTTTTTTTAAAACTTCTGGACCCTTTCAATGAATCAGAAAAAAAGAAAAGACATCACAACCATGCTAGCAGCTCTGTGGGGCTGTGTTTAGGCAGAGCAATACTTTGAGCATGCCAACATTTGCTATTTAGCTCTAAAAACAGTACAGCTGAACCTGATGGAAATGTCTTCAGTTTTGCAGGGGCTGATGGTGCTGGATAAAAAGTGAAGGAATAAAAGTTGCACCATAATATGATAGAGCTATAGATATTGTGGAAGATACACCCAAAAGAGAAAATGAATTTCATTAAAGTTTTTGCTCTGTGATACTAGTTATTGGAAACTTAAACAGTTTAAAAGGTGGGTGAACTCTACCTGACAAGTTAGAATGGATAACTTCAGTGGGTTTATCTTCCTCTGCACCGCTGCCTCTATCCTTCCTGCCTCTGTATCATGTTGCCCTGTCAGCCTCCTAGCAACAACTCTGCACTGCTGTGCCCGTGTTTGCTCTCTCTTTCCTATTCCCTATCCCGTGTTTACCCCCCATTTCCTCCCCTCGTCTGCCGGTCTTCTTCTGTCCTCCTCCCTAGCCTCTCTTCTCCCTCCTCTTGAAATTTGCTCATATTTATGTGAAAACAAGGAGAAAAGCAAGTCACATCCCAACAGGATGATGATACATAATCCTGAAGGAATATCAGTGTTATATTACGAGCAAGGACAAGCACAGACATAGCCTTTTCTCTTCGGACCCCCTCCTTTCGCTCTCTTTTTCTCATGGATAATTAAGCTTTCCTGTCCTTTGCCATCTCCCTACAAACAATGAGACTTCTGGGAAATGAGTGGGTGAGGTAAGGGGGAGATTCTAAAGGAGGAAGCTAAACAACATGTTGACAAGACCACAGAATGCAGATGTCTAATTAACCATCAGTAGTGCGGGACTAAATACACTCATGCATTAGCCTGTAGTGTTTTCCCTCCAACATTCAAACTGCACCTTTCTGTTTATTACGCTTGTGGATGTCTTTGCAAGCTTTGCAAGATCTTTCGGTTCTTCAAGAACAGACACACAAGCCACACAGAAAGAACATCATGACTGTACTTAACAGTAGAACAGAGTACTTGTAAAGACAGTGGAAGAGGGAGAGAGTGGTGTGTCTGCAAGAATGTTTTTGGCTGGATTACTGACTGTGATGAAATATGACATTAAAAGAAATATTTAGTAACCAATTCAATCAAGAATGAACATCCTCTATCTAAGGTGGATTAGTTTAACTTCAGTTGAATCAATTATAAAGGAGACCTTTTTCCTCATTGTTTTAAGCAATGCTTGTTTCACAATATGTGTTTGTAATCTACATGTATGTAGTCTTTGTCAACAAAAACATATTTCTGGTTTACATGGTGTACATGGTTTGTAGTTACCATTTTGCATATTGTCCAAAAATCAAACAGTATTAAAAATGTATATACCCAATGTACCAACCGGTTGGGCTCTTAAAACAAACAATTTATGGACAGTGCAGGTTAGATCCTGGCAACAACAGCTTGCCAGATGGACTTTGATGCAGTTTTCAGTTTCATTGATCAGCACAGAAAGCAGGTCTGCAGCACGCTGATTACATCTGGCAGTAATTTACTGGACAATGCCAGGCTGTGTTTGACCACTGTGGTTTCCACCTGATAAAACGTTCAATGAGGTTAGGAGACTCACCTGTGTGGGGGATGGGTGTGAGACAGTGGAAAACAATGGCAGTATCAGGTTATAAATGGATGTGTGTGTGTGTGTGTGTGTGTGTGTGTGTGTGTGTGTGTGTGTGTGTGTGTGTGTGTGGAGAGAGAGAGAGAGACTGATTTTAGCATTTATCTAAATGAGTTTAAAGGTTTGGACAGATTATAAATACCTCGTCATGGAGTCAGGCCTTGGTTGATAAAAGATCAAATAAAGTGAAATATGAACATTTTCTTGAACACACCGTTCCAAATTAAGTCATCTTCACACAAATTGAATGCCAATTAAAATTCAAGACTAATAGATAAGTGGAAGACACACATTTAGTAGTGTTTTTAAATAAATTAATCTCTATGTGTACATACCTAATCATATGCTGTATGTGTTTCCGAAGGTGCAAGTGCATGTTGTGTGATCTTACCTGTGCAGGTTAGAGGGCCTCCTCAGCTTGTGCTGTCTTGGTGTCTCCTCTCGGCTCTCTTACCCCATACTTAGCTCTGCCCTTTGGGGAACAACAGCCAATGGGGCGGGGGGTGAGAACCAGGAAGGGAGGAAGGTAAGAGGGAGGGGAGTGTAGGAGGGTTAAACCTGAAAACATATGAAAAAAAAAAATGGTGTGTCAACAGCTGTGAGGAACTTGGCCTGAAGAAAAAAACTAGACAAATATCAGCGACACGAGGAGCTCCTAAAGCCAGTCTCACATGCTGAGAAGCTGCACCATTACCTTTTCTTTTCACAAATGTAAATAAAAGACAGAGAACGTAGCACTGAAAAACAGAGAGTCAAATGCAAGATAAATTATCACTTCACTTGAATTTCCTAAGTATTCATCTGTATTTTTAGATCACTCCATCGATCGGCAGATATGACCGGAGATGGGACACACCCATGGTATGTGAGAGAGAGATACTGTGCTGCCCTAAGCACATACTGTATATACACAATAAAACTGTAATGCTTAGTGAGTAGAGCAAAAATGTATCTGAAACCATTTTGATAATTTAACAATTGTTTTTTTATGCAAAAATGTCAAAGCATTAGTAGTTCCATCTTCATTAATGTGAGGATTTGCTGATTTTCTTTTGTCATACAAAGTAAACTGAATACCTTTGGGTTCACGACTGTTGGTCAGAAAAAACAAGACAACTGAAGATGGGGAATTATAATGGGCATTTTTCCACCATTGTCTGATATTTTATGGAGAAAACATTCCATCAAGAAAATAATCAGCAGAATGACTGATAATGAAAATAACTGTTCGTTGCAGCCCAAAAATACAAGTGTGTGAATGGATGCAGCGAGAGCAATGGACACAGACTATAATACAACCTGCAGATGAGACCATGGTCTAAAAAGGAACACACAAAAAAAACCCTCACCAGAATACCACAGCAGACTTATTTTTATACACTACATAAATACATTTTGCCACACCAAGAGTCTGGCTGGGAAAATCGTGTTTCTCTGATACTGTATACCAATTGCCGAAAACCAGGTTTCTCATTTACATGATAACTGCAGAATCCAGACTGGTGCCTGGTTATTTAAGTGCATGTAAATGTCCAGACTCACACAGGTGGAATAAAGATAACAAGACCTTGTGTTTTGCACAAGGGTAACATCCAAGACACAAAACAGACACTGAGCCTACATACAGTACACAACGCAGGTCTCTGACTCACTAGTGGAAAACACATTTCACACACGTGAGGGATTGCTGCATTTACCAGAAGACCCAGTCACAGATGTCCTTTCCACCCCAGATATCAGAGTCTGCTCTAATAGTTGTTTTTAGGGATTTTCTTTAGTTTGCTCACCCATGTCATTTTCTCTCCTCAGGCTTAGAGTTTTTATGTTGGAGCTTCTCTTGCTCAGGTAGGCATGCTGCTGCATGCATGTCTGTTGCGCTCCACATCCATCAGTAAGTTAAAGGATCTCAACATTCATCCTGGCATCATGGTTATTGCACTTTTCTGTAAAAGTGCAATACTTGAAGTGTGCGAATAGCTGATAACTCTTAACATTTCCATTTAAAAAATATGTCTCAAATTCAATTGGCCATTTCTGATAACATTTCTCATTTTCTTACATTTAATATTATGTGTGATAAACAGAAAATAAAGACATTTCCACTGAGGCATACTGCTAGACAGGAGGACTGCAGAGGCTTGTTGGTTCTACAGATTTGGTAACCTTGTTCAAGTTGTTTGGAAAACCAACCTTTTCTTAAACTGCCCACTTGTGATCAAATAAAAACAAGATGCATTTTAGAGCATAAACAAGGATGGAGCCAAATACAGACGGAAAAAACATTAGCAGGGTAAACAGCATGCTAGTCAACTCCCATGTAAAGCATGTATTTTAAGCCTGACTGCAAACTAAGTATTAACTTCCCGTTTGAATATTCACCCCACTACTGACTGCTACCAACAAAATGTAAAACAGTAATGATTAATAACACCAACAGGAAGATTGTGAAACAAGCAGGACCTGAAATCAACACCAAGTAACTGTCCAATTTGTCTTTGGTGGATAGATCAGTAAGAGTCAAACACTGGCAACAAATCCATAAATTACAAAACTATAATCTTCAGCTTTTGCCCAAGACACTGATGTGGAAAGCTCCCTTTATACACACACGACTGGGTTTTGTTAATCATTAAACCACTGGTTCTGCTGGTTAGATATGAGGGGTCAGCAGGTAACGGGGACATATCGACTTTCACTGTGCGGTGATCATGTAAAAACTGCCTGAAATGTTCACTATAAGATTATCCAACACCCAAAAATGTCAAAGAAAATATGAGCAGAAGAGTTCAACAATCAACGATGGAATGTCTCTATTTTCTAAATGCACCCCCTGATTCTAATATAAATATGACTTGTGTACTCTAGATTTCACTCCGTTTGTGCTTCTTCCCTTACAAAAGAAAAGTACTTCTCAGACTTCTCAGTCTGTTTAACTTGTTCAGAAACTTTCAACCTTTAAATTCCTGGTTTCCATTTCTAGTTTTGACCAATGACCTTTAAATACCAAAGAGATCTTTTTGGTTGTTTCAGCACTACCCCTTTCTTTTAATATCCTTTTTTAGTATTTGAAGAAACCCAACAATCCTGCAGACTGTCTGTATCACGTGTATTACAGTCGGGCGATATGTTACGCAACAACCAGCAACTGCCGGTTATTCGCACAGGCGTGAAGACATTACTTAGACAGGACACTTTTCATATAGAGCACGTCTAGACCATACAACAATTCCCACCATGAGCAAGCACTTAGTGACAGTTGCAAGGAGGAACCTCCTTTTGAGAAGCGTGTAATTGTTTGTCCACCAGAGAGCACTCACAGGTAGGGATGTAACGATTACCGGTGTAACGGTAAACCACGATAAAAATGTTGACTATAACAATTACTGTTTTCATTTCAAATATCATTATTATCACGGTTGATTACCACGGTGTGGAAACCGTGTGTTTAATCCTTCCCAGCGTCATCCGAGTTTCCTGAAGTTGCCGCGCAGGCTCACTGCGCAGTCTACAACGTGCGTGCAAGTTGGAATCATGGCAGAAGGAGAAGATGACAGCAATCAGGACATTTATCAGCCCTCTAAGAGGACTAAGTATGAAGCATGGGCATATTTTGGTTATTATAAGAATGCCAAGGGACAGTTGATTGAAGATAGTTATCCTGTCTGCAAAACGTACAGGAAAAAAAGTTGCTGCTAAAGGCGGCAATACGTCAAATCTCCTGACTCATCTCCGTGACCATCACCCACAACTTTAGAGCCAATGCAAGGTAAGTTAACGTTAACATTTTAGCTAAAATGTATGGTGTGGGGACTTCGGGTTGAAGGAGAATGCAATGATCCGTCTGTCTAACTTGTTAATAACTCAATAATCTAAACAAATGCCTATGACATCATCTACCTAAAATGCACATTTTCGTTAAGTGGTGGTGTGTGGAGCAAATCGGGACACATTTTTAGCCTCAGAGCTAGATGGATACCCATTTGAGTTGCGTTTATCAAACAGTGGTAGGCTACAGTATTTCATTGCATGCATTTCTTGATTTCCTCCAAGTACTGCTACAGGTTCATCAGTGACACAGACTCTTGAGCCCTTGTTCCTTTGATGTTACATTTTGATGCTTTTGATAAGGTTTTGTAATATAATAAACACTGTTATACTTTTTGAAACTATTTCAGCTTGTGTAGGCCTATCAGTGCTTTCTGAACTTATTGAACACACATTCCAAAAATACCGCGATCATTTTGGTCACTATAACCGTGAGGTTAAATTTTCATACCGTTACATCCCTACTCACAGGTTTCAGGTATCACCGCCACAGTTCTAAAAATCCATATCAAGATGGTTTTTAACATAAAAGCATCGCTCAGGCTATATGTCAGACACGGGCTAATAATCAGAAAAACATGCTGCAACCGCTCTCTATCGCTACCTGCCACTAAGAATTAATAAGAAATATGAAAGGTGTGTTTTCGTGACATCTCAAATGATTTCTGAGTTGTCTCACTGCCACAGGGCTTTTTCTAACCAGGTTCAGGTTTTTCTGGTTCAAGGTCATGTTAACAGCCATTTCTGTTTGCAGCAGAGAACACAACCAATGAAGCTGCACTGATCAGTACATCTTGCTTTTCTGTTAGCCAGAATTAGTGTTTCACTCGTTTCCAAAAACTGTATGCAGGTGTATGATCTGCACTAAACTAAAACATTCGAGAGCTCAGTGTGTGTAGTTTGTGGTTAGCTCATGAACCCACACTGGTGCAGCTAGAGGTCCCCAGGACAGAGCATGTGAAACCAACGCAGGCTCATATTGCTGATGCTGTGTGTGCGTGTGTGTTAGCAGATAAGGACATGGCACAGAAGACAAGTGTCCGCCACTGAGGCCACACCAGTCTCTGGCGAAAGTTTAACTCCAAACTGACACAGGGTGCTAGAATAAAGATAAAGTGATGAAAAGAGGGACAAATGATAAAGGCAAAACGTCTGTGGCACATTTACGCATTTATCTGTGTTCTAAACTGTCCTCCCAGCTATTGGGCACTAGAACAAATGGGAGTGTGCATCTTTCAGCCATGTTTTACTTTATCTACTTCTCTCGCACTCTACTTCTTAGGTTCACAGTGGAGTTCCATGTGAGGTCCTCAGAGAGAAATAGAAAGAAAGGCACACGCCAGGCCACCTATGCCATTCCAAAAATGCATCTGTTTGAAATACAGTCAGAATAAATATGTCCAACGAATATACAACTTAAACACAGTAGTCTTTGGTTACGTGAATCATTATGCATCTTTCATCGATGAAGACTTTTGCCTGCCACCCCAATCAGGAATAAACAAGGCCTTTTACTATTCTAATACTATTTTACCTCCACTTTGTTTTAAAGAGTATGAACTGTGCTATAAAAATAAACTTTCCTTGTCCCTGTGTAGTAAGGTATTGCACAGATAGTCCATCGTGCACTGCATGGATTGTAACTACACAAGATATTTCCGAGCACTACTTGGCTCAGGTCAGAAGAGTATAAGAGGATGTTACAGCATGAGGGAATGTGGGCCTAATAGCAA